CTCCTTCTCCAACAGACACCAGGGAAGTGGCAGTAAGTGGAGACTCGAGGAGGAGAGAGTCTGCCAGTCAGATTTGGGTTTGGTTGATTGAGGGGGTGGATTGGAGAGGGGGGGTTGTTTCTCTGCAACTTTTGTTTGGAAGTTTTCGTGCCATTTGCGCTGTAGGCGGGATTCCTTGGGCTCGGGTACCTTGTCTCTCTGCGTCAGTAGGTGTGATCAGCGCATGGGACCATCTGCCTCATCAGAAATCTATAAGCAGCAAATTGCTTTTCAAGCATTTCAAAATTGTAATGTAAGGATGTGGAACAGCAATTATTAAAACAAGATGTTAATAGGAGAAGAGCCAATACTTTTTTCTATTCTTTTTAATGAAAAATGTAACTTAATCCAAGAATTACCTGGAGTCTGTTTAAAGGGCAGCACTCACTTGACCAGGCTGGGTGAGCTACATCAAACACGTAGTCTGTGCTAAGGTAGGTGTAGAGGAGAGGACAAGGAGAGATGCTGCCTGGTGCCCTCCCAACGTTCCTAAAGAAGATGAGCTATTTGGGCAGCAGAGGAGAAAGGCAACCAGCACTGCTCAGAGCACCTTACAGAGGAGAAAACAGGTCCTGCGTGTCCACACCAGGGAGGCGCAGGTCTACCCTGCTCCTGCAACCAACCCACCTCCCACAAAGTGATCAGTCTCAAGGGCAGTGGCCTCCAACTTCTGCTGGCAGAAGCAAACACCAAACCTGATGGAAATTTTAACAGATAATTACTTTCCTAAAACTCTCAGCCTAACTGAAATTTGGTTAGAAGTCCACAGATGAAATTCAAGGAGGCTTTAAAGAACGACAAAGTCAACACATAGCTGGTGAAAGCAGCTGCAAGTGACAGCAGACTGTCACATCAAAAGGCTAGAGCAACACTCTTCTTTCAAGAGCTGTACTGGGCATTTTCACTGTTGCTTTTGGAACACCTACAGCCTGTATGATCAGAAACGCTCCAATGGTTAAGTTCTCTCCTAGATATCTTTAATGCAAAATGCTGTTACAAAACAGCTTTTGCAGGCTCCCAAAGCGAGTGCTTCTTGGAAACAGAACTCAGAAGCCAGAGTTATGAGTGAGGATCCAGGTTTTCGAGTCGAGATAAACAAAATCTTTTGCTAATTTATCATTGGCAAGCTCTGCGTTTAGCAAGAAGGCAAAGAAAACTTCCCCAGTGCTCTGCTAGGCAAAGGAAGCATAGGCAACTATTCCAAGCATTTTGCATCAGTACTTTTCCATTTCCTTTATGAAAGACATCTTAAGCTTTTGGTTTTTTTTAATGTTTAACTGTAGTGATGAAGAACTTTTGTTCCTTCATCTTAACCCACCACAGACTGGCCTGTTTCCCCCACCACCTGGCAAGGTGTGAAGCTGCAGGACAGCAAGACAGGTCCTCAAAAAAATGAATTCATAGAATCATAAAATGGTTTGGTTTGGAAGGGACTTTAAAATATCATTGAGTTCCCTGCCACAGGCAGGGACACCTCCCCCTAGACCAGGTTACTCAAAGCCCCGTCAAGCCTGGCCTTGAACACGCCCAGTGATGGATTATCCACAGCTTCCCTGGACAACCTGTGCCAGGGTCTCACCACCCTCAGAGTGAAGAACTTGCTCATTTCTCATCAAAATCTCCCCTCTTCCAGCTTGAAACCATTACCCCATGTCCTATATCGCTACAATCCCTTGCAGAAACTCCCTCCCCAGCTTTCTTGTAGGCCCCCTTCAGACACCCATGCAGGCTTGTAAGTGAAGGCTTCGTGAAGACAAACACCAGTGAGCCCCCAGTGCTGCCTTACTTCTGCCCTGGAAACCCAGACGAACACAAGCCACCCAGCTGGCTGCTGCAGAACCCACACAGCTCTTCCCAGCACTCCCTCTGCACCATCCACCGGGAGCTCTAAATACCACATTAAGTCTTCAACTTCACATTAATTCCTGTGTTAATTGCCTAGGGACTCACAAACAGGAAGGATGATGTTACTCTTGAGGCAGAGCTTATTTCCAGCAACATGGCCACACTAAACAAATTGAACTGCTTGCTTTTGTAGAGACTGCTCAGATGACAAATTTTCCACATCACCTTTTTCCTCAAAAGATTACATTTCAAACCTGAGGATGTCTGAACCTGTAGGTGACACTGGCTAAGACTGTCTCTTGTCTGTACCAACAAAACTTCAAAGTTTTCCCCAGCCAATTTGAAGTGTTGCATGTTCCTCACTGCTGCTGCCAGCTCTGAAAGGCAAGTCATGGCAAGGGACCCAGTAACTGCTCTGCCTGAGGTACAGTTTTTATAATTAACTCTACAGATTGATTTCTGCAGAAATCATCCTTTAACCAGGAGTTCCCTACTCCCAGAATGGCCTCTACTCAGCTAAGCTATTTAAGAGGCTACCTGGGACTCAAGTGCATTAAGTTTCAGTTTCATCCTTTCAACCACAGCAATACCTTAAATTAAATTTCATACATCACATTTCTGTGTGATATTGATACATTCACTTGAGTTCCAGAGACTATGGTAATTACTGATTGACTTGACTCATTCTATATGCAGCATCTTCCTGGAAAAAAAAAAAGTGGCATATAATTTTGGATTAAATCTGTATTTTATGTCTAATTCCCACATTTGTTCAGCACAGCCACCTAAAAGGATTCAAGAAGCAGCTGTGAATCTCATCAGGAATAAACTGCAAAATAAACAGATAATTGTCTAAAAAAGGAAACAAAATCCTACAAAATTCTGTATCTAGAGAAAAAAAAATTCTGAAAAATTCTATACCTAGAAGCAATAAAACCCTATATCTAGAATCCCACAAAATTCCATATCTAGAAGCATTTAGAGATGATAGAGAATAATCAGAATACCTTATTCATATTATTATTCACATATTATTATTCAGAATAGTAGGTGGGGACCATTTAGTAATGCCGCTGAAGAGGACGACAGCGTGCTGCATCACTCAGGCTGGCCTGAGACAAACCTCTGTGTTAGGAGAAAAAACAGATGCCATTTGTAAAACCATTTAGACAAGTGCCCTTAATTATGTCTCGGGGCTCACAACATGTTTAAATACTCTTAGAGCATTAAGGAATCGGGCAGAGCACATGTAATGTAATATAAAAGCACTCTTTCAAGTGCTCCGAACATCTCTAGTGTCACTGACTAATCTCTTGGTGGCGACCCTGGAGTTAAGACAAGACTGAGTGGTGGAGGATCTAAATTGCAGGCTTGGAAGTTCAGCCTGACCTTTTCAAAGCCAAAATCCAACAGTTACAGCCCTTGTCCATTTATAGATAATCAAAGCTTCCAATGTGTGTTAAATATATTATCCATAATCCCTGATGTCAAAGGTTAACAACTGCCCTTCAGCAGATGCAACTGCAGTTTGGTGACTAGTGATTATAGTTTGTTAATTATTTCACATTGATTATCATGGTGTTTATTTTATAAAGGAGTAGATTTATTTAAATAGGCAGTTGTTGGAAAAACAAAGATAGAAGAGTTTGAAATACACACAATTTCAGCAATGAGGAGGGGGGAAAAAAACCCACAGATTTGGACAACTATCAGAAACATTTAGATTCAAAGAAAACTCAACATCAAGATGATCATTTTCAACAGCATTGGCATTTGTTTGGAACAACATGTATTAGACACCCATATTCTTGGAGATAACTAAAAAAAAAATTACATCCAGCCTCACTGGTTACTTTAGGAAAAAGCAAGCCCAGGTAAGATGTATTTTTAAAAGCTTTTTCTTCCACATGCTTTCGTTCCAGCTGTAAAAATTGACCTTTGGTTTTAACAAGTCATAGACACCACTTGCCCCAGATGTGAGAGGCAAAGAACTGCAACAGCCAAGGCAGCTGATGCACCAGCCCCGGGGTCTGACACAGGAGTGGCAACCCCAGAAGTCCAGCCCAGGAGGACAAAAGGTCTCCTAGATAGCATTTAATGTTTTATGTTCAGGGGCCTCTCTTTGCTATGTAGCAGCACTGTTACTTACAAGTAATAGAAAAGGTAAAATAGTCCTGCTCCTCACACTATCTTCACTTATTCCCTCAAAATTCCCCTCCTGCTGAGGCAGATACAAGTGAACATCTCCCTCTTCCTTTTGACTGGTTTTAAAAGGAACAACATCCATGGCAAAACCTGACCAAACTCTAAATAATCCTGAGATAATAACTTATTTTCATCAAATGCCATTTGACCAATTTTTTGAGTACATATTTTCCATTAGCTCCTCATTACCAACACTACCTTATTTGTATGCTTTAAAACTGAAATTCCTGTTGCTTCAAAAAAATGTAAATTACAAGAATTGACAGTGCACTGTAGTCTTCAGGCATTCATCCAAGTATCTAGTTGTTGACATTTAAAACATCAGGGCTGTTAAAATGGAAGAGGATAGTCTAGTGCTTATATAAAATTAATTTCCTTGTTTCCATTAAAAACTTATTAATTAAAAGGTAGTTTCAGCCAGGTTCAAATTCTTCTATGCACAGCCAGCTTCCTCTGATCTTACTCTATCGAGAAGGAGTTTTTTTGGGTATATTTATATTCTACTCAGGGAAAAAAATAATACATCCATAATTCATCTTACAGCATGCACAAGAGCAGGGGAAGCGTCTTCACAAGACATCTTCCTGAGACATGAATGCACACAGTAAACCACTGAAGCTTCACCACTTTGCTGTCTTAAGGGTTACCAGAATACCCTGGCCAAATGAAATCAGAGCTATTTTGTTAAAAAACAAAACAAAACCATATTTGTATCACTAATTACTTTGTTATGTATTTAAAAGTTTTCAAGCCTCAATCCTTACACTGCATTTCACTTTAAACAGACGAAGGAAAAAGTCAAGTTCTGCAGCAAGTCCATAGCTGGTCACTAAGAGACCACAATATGTACTAAGCAGGACAAGTAGCCCAACTTATTGGAGTGTATTTTATGTGCTTATGCTCATCATTACCTGGGGACACAGGGCTTCAAGCTGGCTGGCTGACATGCGAACCAATTTCACACCTTCTTCGTTGTTCGAGATGGAACAGGCCAGGTTGGCAACCTGCATCAGAGGTGGGAGAAAACACAACACTACTGTTAGAATTGGGTTTTTTTCCCCTCTGTATGAGACTTTTTACCTGCCCCAAACAGTGGCCAGTAACCCAACATGAAATACAAAGCACCCACATTCATTCAACTCTAACCAGTTCTGAAACCACTTGTGACCTCCATTCCTTCTCTAGCCATAAAATCATAAGACATCACATCATAAACCCACAGTCATTAGACAAGACAGGCAGATCATTGGTACCACTGGTTCAGTTCTCTCCAGCAAAACACACGAGAGCATCATTGGTAGCACTTGCAGTTCCAGTTAAAAAGCCATTCTCACTTGAGTGAGACAGCAGCAGACACACACTTAGAAACCCAATCCAGCTCCCATGCATCTGAGGATTAAGGATTCTGATATCTGTAAGCGTAGGGATGCTCCCTTTCTCCTGAAACATTTCTATATCCTACTGCCTGTCATCCCAACAGAACCTGGAGGCTCATCAAGCAATTCACCCAGGCAAGTGGTGCGGTGGAGTTGCACGGCTTGAGCTGTTTTGCTGGTGTTGCATGCAGCACGCTGCTGAGACAGAACATGGGAATGTCAAGTAATGAATTACCCACATTTGGCTTAAACTACTTGATGTACTTCTTACCTAGCCACAGACAGCAGCATCAAGCAGGTGTTCCTCCAGCCCTCCAATTATACTCTGATAAAAACTTTTGCCGGAAGAGGTGATTTTGAAGATTCCTCCACAATTCTCCAAAATTCAAATAGCATCTCGTGATGCTAAAAACTTTTCTCCAAAACCTCGACCTACTGCACAGCAGCATCCTTAACTAGGTCATCTTGAAGCAGAGGACCTTTTGTAAACACCTGCCTTTTAAGAGCACGCAGGAAGGGGACAGCACAGAATTTTGGGGTAATTGAAGATATTCCTCATATTGGAGCTACTCTCAGGGGAAGGAAGTCTGAAGTAAGTTACACTTCTCAACTGACAGGTGAATGACAAGCATGTTATTCTGAGCCATTTGAGCACCAAAGATGTAAAAATAGCACAAAGTGAACAGGGATGAACACTGAGTACTGTCCTTCCAGAGACAGAGCAACCTGCAAAACCCCTCAGTAAATGTGCTGCAACAGCATCACCAGGAGCCAGCAGATGCTCCCCCAACACCAGCGAGCCACGCTTCGCCACACGCTTTCTCTATCAGCTGGGGAAATTCCATTCTCTCTTTAATTAAACTACCCTGCACATTCCTATACAAGGCATTTGGAAGTAGCATCTGCAGCTACCTCCCATGCCTTTCCCCCTCCTCAAGCCATTCCCTCATGACAGATGTTCCCACATAGAATACATTACTGTCCCACAAACCATCAACCACTCGCCAATAGACTTGAATGGGGTTTTTCCATCAATCCCATTATTAATTTGGGGACCAAAAAGCAGGCTCCTGTTGCAAAGCACAAAGCCTCCTCTTCCCTCCAGTCCCAAACCAGGTTCCCAGAGACAACAAAAAAAACCCTGGAGCACTGTCAAGAAGAGAGGTATGTTCCCAACACTGACAACCAAGTAAACAGATGCGACAGCATATATTTGGATGAAAACAAATCGAAGTTGAGAGAAAGACTGTGCAGCATCACCAAGACAGAAAGCTTTGCCAGCTTTCAGGAATATTAGCATCCTGCTCCTCAACTTTCTTTCCCACGTGTCTTTGTAGACAAGATCTACAAACGCAGAGGTGGAGTTGCATAAGTCTCCAGCTGGTGGAAAGGTCAAGCAACTTGGACCCAGCTTAGCCAAGGCTCTTTCTCCCCCCCCACCCGCATTTCCATTACCACATTTGCTACATTCTCCAGCTCCTTTCCTCTCCGCACAGCACTACCACCAAACAGCTGGACCCTCTATAACACCCTACCAAAAAGAGTTGGGTTTTTTTTCTGAACATAGGGTGGGTTTTTTTCCCTGTAGATTTGCCACATCTTAAATCCTTAGTTCACAGGGAGCTGTAGTATATCGTGCTTTTGTTTAGAGGCTCCAAAGAATCAAAAGACAGTAAGATGCCATGATTTAAAAGTCAGATAAAGATTTTGCTACTGTTTTAAGCACAGGTCATATTTTTGAGAAACATCAGTTTGCCAATATTTTTTATGGTCCATATTTCTACGTCATTTCTGCCTCCGCAGCAGCAGTTACAATCTCTAGGAGCGAGGAGAACACAAAGCTCTATTGAGTAGGGGCTGAATAAAAGCGACATTGAAGCACTACAAAATCAGCCTCTCCGATATCTGGAGATGTTGTGCTCTCTCTCAAGCCAAGTGTGATGAATCAAGCACACAGAAACCCCGCTCTGTCTGAATACAGAGAGCCAAAGAAGTTGATAATTGAGTGTCCCCGCCATGGTATGATGAAATTTTGCTTTTTTGCACAGTCATTTTTGAGCAGTCATTTTTCTTCTGAATACCTCACTGATGGCAATTCTTCTTTAGAAATTGCCCGATCGGGACTGCCAACCTCTATGAAAGAAGTGTGTGTGCTTCCCTGACTGAGGGTCTTTGGCAGTTTAGGACAATCCAACTGTTGGCTGCCACATCTCATCCTACTGCTGCGGCTCCAAATCTCAACACTTCATTTCAGCATGCTCGTCTCCAAAGGAAAGCTACTCGCTTGGGTGGATGAGTTTTCCTGCCAGTTTAACACACAAACATCCCAGCAAACTATTTGCTGAGCATCAGAGTAAAGCAGGGATGTGGAGGCAGCAGAGATGGCTTTGGAGAGCTGTGGGACATGGCTCTGAATCCACAGTAATCCAGCATTTACTGCACCCATGGGGAGACTCTGTCCAACTCTTGGAAAACATTCACAAACCTCTTAAAATTTCAAATTCAAGAAGAGCTATGTCAACTAATTTATCAAGCCGTAAATGACATTACAAGGAGGTCTTCTAAATTGTCATTAATTATCTATGACATGGATTCTAAAATTGCAAGTACCAGCTGAGGTGGATGGTTGCATGATTAAGAAATTTAACAGTACCTGAAAGAACCCATCATCAATAACTCCTGTGTGGTGTTTGACAAATAACTTCAAGCTCCCAGTCTGTAGAGAGGACAGGGTGCTGCTGGCCAGTTATTTGACAGGTACACATAAAACAGAGGATTTTGCAGCTCAGAGGAAGAACAGGTACGGCCAAATTAGTTTTCAAGCATGCAGAGGACTCAGAAATCAGACATTTCTAAAACATCCAAATAAAATAGAGCACCTCAAGCAAACAAAAATTTCCCTTAAATAAAATGCAAATGGAACAGTTTCTCCATGTCTCCACCAACGTAGCTGACTGACACACTAAGTGGTCAGACTTGATTTAGAAAGAACACTTGTGCTTGAGAGCAAAATAGCAATTGAGTTCCCGCTGCATTTGTTCATTCTTACCATTCAACATCATCAAGCCCCTTTACATAAGCTCTACTGGCACAGGCAGCAAAAGCGACAAAAATCGCAAATAATGTAATCAGCCCTAACGAGCAATCTCTTGAAAAAAGTTAAAAATACACTGGGAATGAAGACAGACTAGAGAAACTAGACTGACGTGAGTCAGAGATACCTCTGCAGCACTGACAGACCAATTTCAAAGCATTTTTTTGCTGCAATATTCAGGCTCTCTAAATTCAGAGAGTGCACAAGCACATCCCAGAGATAGCTTCGCGTGTCCCAAAAGACAGGCCAGACCCAAAGCAGCTGCCCACGTTTAGATCAACGAGCTTAAATTCACCCCCAGTGAGAACTGCACCGAGCAGTAGCGAGAAGTGCTCTGACACCACCATTCCCACAAACAGGACTAAGGAACAGGGGTTGAGTACAACTCAAAGCTGGATGAACTCACCTGGAAAGTGGGTTTCATGCACTGACCAGTTTTTGAAACTCAAATCTGATCAGTGTTAATGATGACTCCAGAGTATTGCAAGAGGAGGTGATGCCTTTGGAGGAGACATTGCTGAATCAGTTCCTTCTAGAGGTAGTTGCTACCTAGGGGTAACATCTCAGCTCAAAAGGTCACGCATCAGGAATGTATCATTCCAACACTAAAAAAAAAGTATTGCACTATCTGCCACAGAGTGATCCCATCTCAAATTCTAATTATTTTGATTCTGCAGAGTCTACTGATTTGAAATTAGGAAAAATCTTGACATTTCTAAAGCCGTTTTGTCCTCCATTAGTGACAATTTGTCAGCCTGTGTTTGTGTTGTCAGCTGTTGTAGACAACTGCCTTCTCTGACAACAGGCAGTTTTACCCTTTTCACCTGAAATGCTGTTTTTTTAAAAAACTTGAAATTTGTTCAGATAATAACTGAAGAGCCACGTCTTCCAGCAATTCAAAGACTACAGCAGCCTCAACCACAGGAGTCTGGGGTCATCGCTAAGCTTCTTAAATTACACTGTTGAAAATAATTGAGAAAACTGCCAGAGCTTTGTACTCGTTAAAAAAAAAAAAATCTCATTTGCACTGACACTCAGCTTAGGTAGAGGGGTTACTTTACATGGAACTGCTTACTAAAGGATCGACAAATTGCTTTTTCAATAAGAGAGAAAAAACACCAAGAGAAAAACATAACTATAATCTCTAACGCATTACACATCTTCTTTTTCAAGGATTTCAAAGGCTGACACTGAAAGTTTGTATTCAAGTGTTTGCTTTGTGCACCTGAATGGACTTCAGAGAAGCAACCCCATGCTTCTCCTCCTTGGTTACAGGTCGTGTTCTCAGGACAGCTTCTCCAGGATGCCAAGTACGCCCAGCCCTCCTAAATGGGTGCTGGCTGCAGTCCTGCAGAACGCTGTGATCCAGGGGAGACTAATGTGGGTAATGTGTTTATTGCTGCATAATTTAATACGGCCAGAGCTGCCTCACGACTCAGGATCACTTCTCTCTCCACCACACTTCAGTGCTGAGAGTCCGACTGCTCTCACTTGAAACTGCAGCTGTAGAAACAGCATGGCAGAAGTGGAGTTT